TGCTATTTCAAACTGCTGGATAAATATAGACTACGTAAGAACTATTTCATGCAGGTTTGTTCTTTGTCAAATCCCACATGTAATAAAGTTGACGCAAATTGTGAGAGGCTGATCAAACATTTTGTGCAATGATAAATGTCTTTTGTCCTCAAATTAAGTATTACGAGGTTTTTTATGAAAAGTTTGTAGACAAGTGCCAAAAAATTAAAACTTCTTAAGATACATCGATGGATTTTTCATCGTTTAATCAGCATCGTCTTTCTTATAAATTAAATAAACTACACACCTTTAGTTGTTTTTTTTTTTTTATAAATTGTTAATGGTTTTGATGGCCATGGTACAATGTATGTCAAAGCGGTACAACCTCGAATATTATATTTTTCTACCTAACTGCCCACTATTATAAGTGTGACGTAGAGCATTTGTCATACAAAAATCCCGTTAGTTCACTAATGTAGTATGACACGATCAAACCTTAAAACTTGCTGTTTTTACCTAATTCTATAAGTTCTTCAAAATTTAATCTTAAATTTGATATGAAATATCTAAACAATTAATGGGTTGTACTTTTTTCTTAAAGATTTTGGGTTTCTTTGTCCAATATTCTGACGTCATGAAACTAAATGGCGACAGTGCCAGGCGATCATATTATGTTATTATTTTATTTTAGATAATTTGATAAATATTCTCAACATTTCTTTAACTTTTGTTGTTTGATGTTCCTTTAAAATGATGTAAGCATAGTCTACATAGTATTAATATTTGCAGTTATATAAATGGCCGTTTACTTGGATGCAATGTCAATTTTACTATTTTATTTATATACTGTCCGTTTTTTCTCCAGACAAATAATACTGGCGTGTGTTTGTATGCAAAATCATTGAAAAGGGAAAAAAGGTCCCTAACAAATCAATTTATTGCAAGGGCATACACTCAGTGTATTTTGCCAAGTTTTTACATATAGTCTCAAGAAGCATTAAGATATTTAAAAAGTGCTGCGAACCTTATGATATCTGGAAAATAGATTTATTATAGCTATTTTAATGTAGTTGACCAGCGAAATATATAAGCTGCTGTCCAACAAATTACATTCAAGCAATTAAATAAGGGAATCTATATAGGTTTGCAACACTTTTCCCAATCTACCTACATGTTTAGTTTTGAAAAGAATTATAAATTTACCTAACATTTTTTTAAACTTGGTAATGCCCTTGCCTTGTTATTGGAATTTATAGATGAACTCTAAACTGCAAATATAAATGCTAAAATCATGTGATTCCGACGTCACCACACAAGTCTTAATAAAACAATCTAAATGTCCTCAACATGTAGATTTGAATCACATTACATTTAATTTTATATCAATGAAGTACGTAAAAAAAAAACCCACCCTCTTAATAAAGTATGTATTTTCTATTTTTAAAAAATCGCCGATATTTCAATTAGTAACAATAACTGTGCTGCGTTTGACTCCTAATTGAAATTGAAATAAGAATGGGTTTTATAAGCAGTAACATTTGTTGGCTTGTTCAGCATTAATAGAATAGTGTCATGTCTTCACTGTCAAAATAGAATGAACATTTTGATAATTGTTTATAGAAAAAAAAATGAATTCGAATTAAGAAAGTAATTCATGGCTAGTATAAGAGTGATTTACGAAAGTGAAAATCATATTATTTTCTTATTTCAAAAGTCTGCAGAATATTATCCAGAGGGTTAAAATTATCTAAATAAAAAAATAAAAGACACATTTTAGATATATTTTTTTTTGCTTTATTTGTCAGATTTATCATATGTTCTATTCCACTGTTTTAATGATTTGTTACAGTGTTTATGGTAGAAAAAAAATTGCGTCTTCACAGTACTTTGCTTAATGCTCCAAACAATGTAAAACATATATTTTAAGGCAAAGACTAATAGGTTTGCAGTAATATATTTAAGTGGTTTTGTTTATGTGTTGTTCTTAATCCCGTTGTCTTTCCTAGAGAATAAAACAAAAGCAAACACACATAAAATACTCTTTCGATGAAATTCACATTCAACCGATGCTAAATGAAAGCATCGTGTCTATTCATCCTGTTTTTCTCAATGGAAAATAAATCTCCTTTCTTTGCCTATTGAGCTTAATTCTATACAATGTGCATTTTGTCGACTGCACATCTGCTTAACTGTACTGCGTGACCAATACTGACACTGACAATTCAAGACAAGTACTTTATCCACCAAATTTTCATTTATTTGACATTAACAATGAAAAAAAGGTTGCATATAAAACATTTAATGACACATTATATTTTATCCATTGCAAAAAGAAGGACTTTGAGAAGGACTTTGAGACAGTGTTATTATGATCAGATGTATGTATCTGTATTGAGTGAGTGTTCAAACAACAAAACAACAATACATCTTATTCCAAGTCTATATTTTCTTACTGGAAGAACTTTGTTTCTTTCCCTTTTTCTTTAATTGTACCGACTCATTAGGTGCTTTGACATCACATGCCTTAATGACAGAGAAAACAGGGTCGTGATCAAAAGTTGTTGAAGGGACACATTCACAACCCAAAGCGTCCCAATCAATAACTTTTATTTCTCTTAATTTCAAGGATTTCGATGCAATATAAAAATCAATCATCCTGGATTCCTCTTTTCTTCTAAGAGGCTCGTAACTGTAGATTACTAGAGGATCATCATGTTTCAGTTTCTTTCCTTTTATTGGGTCCTGTTTAAAAAGAACTACATTGCTTTGTAGAACCTCCTTCGCATGTTTGAAGGGCAAGTTGAAATCCCCAGCAATGATAAGAGGTAACTTTTTTCTTTCGCTGAACTCTTGAAGTAAACACAGCGTATGTTTCAGTTCTTCTTGAAGCTGAGTCCATTTAGTGGTTCCACTTGTTTTCCATCTCCCGTGCCAAGACACACAGATGAATGACAGCTCGGGTGTCCCTTTGGTGCTTATTATCAGGACATGCATTCTTGGAAATGAAGCAATCGTCGTAGGTATTGTCCCTTTTAATATCATCGAATCTTTAAGATCATAAAGGTCAGAAAGTGGATCCCTTACAATAAGTTGGTTCTTATTTATTCCAAAACTTGCCTCATGATGTCCAAAATAGTCATAATTTTTGGTTACGCTATCAGACGCCCAGTAAAATCCTCTTTTTGAAGGAAATTCCTGGAAGAGTATCAATGATGGATTGTAATCCAGTAACAGTTTGTCAATTCCTTTTTTTCGAACTTCAGACGATCCTTTGACAGGTTTTTTGGGCCCAACATTAGCAATTATAAGTGACACAACTTCTTGATCAGCCATTACTGTTTACATATGACGTGAGTTTCATGTGATCAATGTCATTTGATGCATGACTCAATCAAAGCGTACACTATTGGACATAAATATTCATTGTTTATAAGAAAGATTAGAGACGAGTGGAAAGACATTTCTTACCTGGGCTGGCTTCAAATTACTTGAAGGAATGTGATATTATCTGTCAAATGTTTTGACTACGATAATTATTTTAAATGACTTTTGATATAGCGTTTATGTTTGACATTCAATAGAATAAATTTGAATTTAATTTTACTGGTGGTCATCCAACTTATTCTCATAGTTCCCATTCCAAGGAAGAAATTCTTCAAAGTCATATGTCAGTTTTGAATATTCTGATATCCAAAAGAACCAAAGTGAATTTGATTTACCACATACATATTAAATTCCTAAATTTTGTTTAAAAATTTTACCATCAGAGACATATATAGGGTTACTCAAATGTGGATACTTGATAATTCAAAGTAAACTTTGGAAAATTTGAAATTACAAGATTTTACCAAAATCAATAGCTTAATAAAATTAAGACTTCTTTTTAAGGAAGGGATTGCAAGGGTTCGTGAAAAAAAACCAGCACAATGAATTTGTTTCATTTTTACAAATAATATGCTTTATTTTTATTCAAAATAAAGATTGTATCGGAATCTAATGATAGATGTAGTAATGCCACCGTTTTTAGGTAAAGTATTAATTGTAAATTTGCAGTAATTTTTTTCTCTTCAGGAGCCGTTTTCGTCTAGACAAAATATTACACAATGAATTTTCCCCAAACTAATATATGCCGTGCTAATTATTATAAATGACTTACGGTTAAAATATGAAGTAAGGTAATCAGATTCATTCTGGGGCTACACGCATTTCAGTACCCCCCCCCCCTCCTAGAATATTAAACGATTTCACAGATTTTATGATGGTTTGTTGCTGGATCTAAAATATACACAATCTGTTTAAAGACTATAAAATCAATATGTATAGATAAATAAACTAAATAAACACTTTTTCTCTTAACATCTTCCAGTTGTTGCTCATTTTACATGTAAAGCAGAATGATCTACGTATCATGGACAATGGTCACGAAAATAACTTGGAATTTTGTAAATAAACTCAGTTTCTAATCTCCAAAACTTTCATTCCGTTACTTTATCATTATAAATACAGATACCCGTATTCTTAACAAGTGCACAGCTGTCCAAGGCCAATTCTTTATGCTTTAAACACGCGAGGTTTCGTCTGACCTGGAATCGGAGGGGGAGGGGGTCAGACACTTGAACACATTGAATGAAAAGGAGCTTCACGTGTTTCATAGAACTTGTATCTGTAACATATATGTTACAAATATGTAAAAAAAAAAAAATAATAATGATTCGTGCCTTGAATAGGAATCGGTTAGAACTTTCAATACACTGTGATGGTATTTATCTTCAATCTTTTGCATATTTTAAGTGATTTCACAATTACTGTGTATACTGATTAATTCTTCTGATTTTTAGTTAGATGAAAAATGTTTTCAAGTTTAATATCTCCACTTTAAATTGTTCTTCTAGAACTCAAGTTTTCCATGTCATTATTGAAGCCGTGAATTGATAATAATAAAACAAATGTATTTTGATTCATGGATATATTCAAAATTTTACTAATTTTTATCATTTCTGTTGGATCCGATGTTCTTAAAAGAAAAGAATTTCTAATTGAAATTGACTTGGTTTGCTTTAAAACAATACACTTTGAAATGCAGGTGCTTTCCAGAATATTTTGAATATCAAGTAACCTCTCTTTATTATTTCTAAATATCTTAGGTTCTTATTTTGTTTACTTCATCACTATCATTTTTTAAATATCTTGCCTGAATGTTAAACCATTTAATTCCAAATCATTTTTTTTTAATCTCAGGGGGAAATTTGCGCTTTCTCGCTACACATTTTTTTACCAGTCTTATCAAACGAAAACAGAGTGTTCGAACAATTCTCTTACAAAACGTATATAGGTTTGAACACGCTTGGTACAATCAAGAAACTCCATGTTGATATATAAATTTTGCTTCATACAAAGAGTTGCTCTAACTTTTAAAAAAAAAATTAAAAGCAATTATGATCTATGTGTGATCTATTAGGTTTTGTCTTCTTTTGAGAAAATATTCCTTTTACATGAGAAATAATGCTACCGAAAACATGATAAAAACATAAATTCTTCTCCATTTTAAGTTGAAACATTTTTTACTTTTGTTTGCTAAATGATTTGAATTACTTCGGAAAGGATTGTCTTCTTTTGAGAAAAGAATCCTAGCTTTTACATGATCAATAAGGCTACCAAAAGCGTGATTTATAGAGAGAAAAAACAAATGTTCCTTTCCATTTTAAGTTGAAAGATATTTTTGCTGAAGTAGTTGGACTATCAATGTATAATATTTTTAAATGAAAGTTTTTTTTTAGGAATGTACCTTTTCTGACCCCTTCAAAATAAGAAATGTTTTATATTTTCGCGAAATTCTTTCAAATTACCTCATGCTTAAATGTTAAGTATGCTTAAAATTTTAGGAGAAAAGCTTCTGCAGATAAGAACGACACTGTGTTCTGTGGATAAAAGATGCTGGAACATTTAAACCATCTCAAGATTTAAAACATGATCCTGTTTGTTGAAAATGTTAGTAATCCTGATATCAAGTTATATCAATTCAAGTTAGTATTATATATTCATTGGGTCAACTTTTGAGGTAATTTTTAAATTTAGATATATGTAGATAATAATTTTGTATCTTCTTTTTTCCTTGAGGAAGCAGATTGTGAATTTCATTCAATCTAAATAAAAAAATTGTTTTACAGGGATCTCTGGTTGAGTTATATTCTTCAGTTTGTGAGTATTGATCTGCTTATGCTCATTATTTCAATATATAAGTAAGAAAAAAATATTAAGTCAAATTTAATCGAAAAATTGCCATTTCTTTATTAACAGAATGTTACTTGCAGTTTTGGAAGCCATGAAAAGAATTTGATTCTTTTACGTTTGAATCATATTAAAAATAGACAGATTAATGTTTAAAGGGAGATAATTCCCTTTTCTCCCTTTCTTTAAGTGCTGCATATATTTCTCTGCCATAACAGCAGAAGCCCTGCAAGCTTTAGAAGACAGTCTTGAAAAGATTACACTTTCTTAAATGTTAATTATGATTCTCATTAAACAAAGAAATACATTCTATCTTATGACAAGTAAAGGCTGGTATTTTCTCCTGAATACTTTATGTAAAAAAGAATTTACAGGGACTTCTGGTTGAAATGAAGAAGTGCTTTTACAAGACACCTTTCAATCATCATGCATTCAAAAAAAAGCATCAACAATTAACATATTTCAAAGATCTTTATGGTATCATTTTACAAGTCTTGATAAGTAATTTCAAGCAATATGAGCTGCATGTTTGACATCGGATATTTTTATTGCAAATTTGTGATTAACTAATTAAATTACAGAAAAATAAATCATTCATAAACTTCTGCTGTTCATATTAGTGATGGAAGATTTTTTATTAGCTTTGATTGAAGCAAAATTGAATTATTGTCGTCCTGTACAATAATGATTTCTTATATAAAACTGTTTGTTTGGTTGTACAGAAATATTTCTTCTGAAACATTTTTAAACTTTATTTTGGGCTTATTGCTCATAAGAGTTTAAATTACATACAAATTAATCATAATAGCACATTTTACCAGCAAAATAAAATTTTCGAAGATACAGCTCATATTGCTTTCAATACATTGTGGTGGTATTTATCTTCAATCTTTTGCGTATTCTAGATGATTTCATAACTGTGTATAAATTCTGCTGATTTTTTGTTAGAGAAAAACTTGTTCTCAAGGCTTATTTCTCGACTATAAATTGTCTTCCTAAATACCCGAGCTTTCCAAACTATTGTAGCCACGAAATAATTATTATAAAACAAATGTATGTATTTTTATTCATATATATTTTCATCCTTTTAACAACTTTTTATAATTTCAGTTGGATCAGATGTCCTTTAAACAAAAGAATTTCTAATGGATATTGACTTGGTATGCTTTAAAACAATACATTTTCTATTACAGATAACTTTCAGAATATTTTAAATGAATGGGTTTCTGTTTACTACCACATTACTATTTTTGAAACATCTTTTCCAAAGATTGAACAATGTATGTCACCATCTATTTTGTAGGTCACCTGAGTAAACTCAGGTGACCTATTGCTATCCGTTTTCGTCCGTCGTGCGTCGTCCGTCGTGTGTTAACATTTGAACATTTTCAACTTCTTCTCTGCAACCACTGAACCAATTTCAACCAAATTTGGCACAAAGCATCTATGGGTGAAGGGGAACAAATATTGTGAATTTCATTATCCCTGCCCCCCTGGGGCCTGAGGGGTGGGGCCAAAACTACTAAAATTAATGCAATCTTTAAAAATATTCTTCTTTACTCCTGGACATCAAGCAGTCAAACTGTTTGCATGATTGTAATCAGCATTGAGTCCTCTACCAAAATTGTGAAATTCATGGCCCTGGGGTCAGGGGTTCTAGTGCTAGGACGGTGCTAAATAAGTATATAGTGAAAATGCATTATTTCTTTGAAAATCTTCTTCTCTGCTCCTGGGTAATAAAAAACCCAACTAAGTACATAATTATGATAAGCAAGAGTGCCTCTACCAAAATTATGAATTTTATGGCCCCAGGGTCAGGGGTTCTGGTGTTAGGGTGGAGCTCTATTGATTATATATAGTGAAAATACATGATTTCTTTGAAAATCTTCTTCTCTGCCCCTGGATATTAAATAAACTAACTAAGTGCTTGGTTATGATGAGCAAGTGTGCCTTTACCAAAATTGTGAATTTTATGGTCCCAGGGTCAAGGGTTCTGGTGTAAAGGGGGGGGGGGTCTGTATTGTTGATATAGTGAAAATGCAGTAAGTCTTTAAAAATCTTATCCTCTGCTCCTAGGTATTAAATAAACTAACTAAGTGCATATCTATGATGAGCAAGAGTGTCTTCAACCAAAATTATGAATTTTATGGCCCCAGGGTCAAGGGTTCTGGTGTTTGGGAGGGGGGGGGCTCTATTGTTGACATAGTGAAAATACATGAATTCTTTGAAAATCTTATTCTCTGCTCCTAGGTATTAAATAAACTAAGTGCATAGTTATGATGAGCAAGAGTGCCTCAACCAAAATTGTGAATTTTATGATCCCAGGGTCAGGGATTCTGGTGTTAGGGCAGGGCTCGTTTGATTATATATTAAAAATACAGGAATTCTTTGAAAATCTTCTCTGCTCCTAGAAATTAAATTAACTAGTAAGTACATAGTTATGATGAGCAAGAGTGCCTCTTCTAAAATTATGAATTTTATGGCCCCAGGGTCAGGGGTTCTGGTGTTAGGGTGGGGTTTAATTGATTATATAGTGAAAATACATTAAATCTTTGAAAATTTTCTTCTCTTTCTCTAGGTATGAAGCAGATGAACTACCTATAAAGTTATGATGAGCAAGGGCCCTAATCTTCCAGAATTGTGAATTTCAAGGCCCCAAGGTCAGGGGGGAGGCTTTACTTATATACTGAAAATGAATTAATTGTTTGACATCTGCTCCTTTGTATTTCATTTCAATTTCATTCAATCTAAATAAAAAAATTGTTTTACAGGGATCTCTGGTTGAGTTATATTCTTCAGTTTGTGAGTATTGATCTGCTTATGCTCATTATTTCAATATATAAGTAAGAAAAAATATTAAGTCAAATTTAATCGAAAAATTGCCATCTCTTTATTAACAGAATGTTACTTGCAGTTTTGGAAGCCATGAAAAGAATTTGGTTCTTTTACGTTTGAATCATTTATATTAAAAATAGACAGATTAATGTTTAAAGGGAGATAATTTACTTTTCTTCCTTTCTTAAAGTGCTGCATATTTTTCTCTGCCCTGCAAGCTTTAGAAGACATTCTTGAAAAGATTACACTTTCTTAAATGTTAATTATGATTCTCATTAAACAAAGAAATACATTCTATCTTATGACAAGTAAAAGCTGGAATTTTCTCCTGAATACTTTATGTAAAAATTTTTTTACAGGGACTTCTGGTTGAATTGAAGAAGTGCTTTTACTAGACACCTTTTAATCATCATGCATTCAAAAAATTGCATCAACAGTTTACATATTTCAAAGATCTTTATGGTATCATTTTACAAGTCTTGGTTAGTAATTTCAATATATTGTGGTAGTATTTATCTTCAATCTTTTGTATATTTTAGGTAATTTCACAACTGTGTATAAATTCCGCTGATTTATTGTTAGAGAAAAACTTGTTCTCAAGGCTAATTTCTCGACTATACATTGTCTTTCTAAATACCCGAGCTTTCCAAATTATTGTAGCCACGAAATAATTTTTATAAAACAAATGTATGTATTTTTATTCATATATATTTTCATCCTTTTAACATTTTTCTTATAATTTCAGTTGGATCAGATGTCCTTTAAACAAAAGAATTTCTAATGGAAATTGACTTGGTGTGCTTTAAAACAATACATATTCTATTACAGATAACTTTCAGAATATTTTTAAATGAATGGGGTTTTCAGCATCTGTGGTTCTTATTCTGTTTACTACTACATTACTATTTTTTAAATATCTTTTCTAAAGATTAAACAATGTATGTCACCATCTATTTTTTATAATGTCAGGGGGGAAACTTGCACTTTAGTGCGACGCATTTCCTGTCAGATTTATAAAGAAGAAGAAAGAGTTTTCAATCAATTATGTTTTATACCTTCTATAGCTTCGAACACAACATGGTACTATCGAAGAAATCCATGTTAATATATTAATGTTCCTTAATACAAAGATTTGCTGTAACTGTCTAAAAAAGAATAAAAAGCAATTATGATCTTATGTGTGATCAATTAGGGTTTGTCTTCCTGTAAGCACAAAATCCGTTTACATGATAATTCACTATTGAAAACATGTTCTAAAGAAAAAAAAATATTTCATTCCATTTAAGGTTGAGGATTTTCAAACTATTGTTTGCAAAATTAGTTGATTTATTTGGGAAGAGTTTGTCTTCTTTTGAGAATAGAATTCTTTAACATGATCAATAAGGCTGGTTTAAAGAAGAAAAACATATATTTCCTTTAAGTTGAAAGATTCTTTTGCTGATGTAGCTGAACTATCAATCTAAATTACTTTTTTAATGAAAGTTTTTTTTGAAATGTATCTTTCCTATGATTTTCTTTTTTCACCGGTTTCTTTTTTATATGTCTATCTATCTTGTGACTGTCCCCTTCAAAATAAGAAATGTTCGAAATTCTTTGAAATTACATCATGCTTAAATGTTAAGTATGTTTAAAACTTTTTGAGAAAATCTTCTGTAGATAAAAACGACACTGTGTTCTGTGGATAAAAGATGCTGGAACATTTGAACCATCTCAAGATTTTAAACATGATCCTGTTTGTTGAAAATGTCAGTAATCCTGATATCAATATATATCAATTCAAGTTAGTAATATATATTCATTGGGTCTACATATGAAGTAATTCAATTTTAGATATTTGTAGATAATAATTTTCTTCTTGAAGAAGTAAATTGTTAATTTTATTCAGACTGAGTGGGATTTTGTTTTACAAAGACTTTTGGTTGAGTTGAATTCTTCATTTTTTAGTATTGCTTTGTTCATCATCTCAATATTTTGCATATTTGAAGTGATGTGATTTTTCATATGTTTACACAAATTCTATTGATTATCTGAACGTGAAAATTGATAGCGAGTCAAATTTCAGCGAGGAAAATTGCCATCTCTTCACTATTTGAATGTTTCATGTAGTTTAGAAAGCCATGGAATGAA